GGGGCAGCCGGTAGCTCACTGCTGCACAACATTTTTCTGCTTGGATGCCTTAGAGGCAGACGCCAGCACCTCCCTTCTCCCCATGCTGCAGCCCCCACCTCGACATCCCCGTCCGTCTGTCTCCCCGGGGCTTCTCGCTCCCTCGCAGCCATCGCAGCCCCACTGCCAGAGCCCCCCAGGCTGCTTTGGCGTGACCCCACTCGCTGAGCCCCCACAGGCGCCAGGCGTCGCTCCCCGCAGAGCCGAGAAGCACATCTGCACCTGGAGCACTGTTTCTCTCTGCTTTAAATGGACCGAGCCATTAAAAACCCACTCAAACCCCCGCAGGGGAGTGCAGCAGGCAAGCTTTGCCCCCCTCCCTCAGCCACCGCTACCCTGGGACAATGTCCCATCCACGCAGGGACACCAGCACACTGTTCGTTGGGCCACCCTCCCCAGGCCAGCTCTCCATCCCACGCACCTCTGCCTTGCTGGAAAGCGTTTCATGGCCACATCCATCCTCTGCTTGTCCTGTGTGCTCGAGGCTGGGCTCAGGTGAGGCACCCAAAGGTGGTATCTGGAAAGAGGCAAAAGCTTTGAGCACAAACACCCTTGCGCCCTCCCCATGCTCAACCAACCAGCCCCAGCAGCATCAGTACACACGGACAAATCTCCGGATGCGGCTGGCAGCCCGCCTTGCCCCGATGCCCGAGCCCATGCTGCCTCCAACCCGTGTGCCAAGCTATGGCAGGGCTGCTGGAGTGAGGAAGAGCAGAGACCTTCAGCGCCCAGCCTTGGAGCCAGGGTTTGGAGCTCATGAGCTGCTCTCTGCGGCATCCCCAGCCTGGGGGACCAGGAGCTTTGCAAGGAGCCATCGGTGAGGGGGAGCAGCTCGGCCAGCACCGGGCTCAGCTGCCCGGGATGCTGATGCAGCAGATCACGGCTAGCAGGAGGGAAGAGGAGAGGAACAGCACAGTATGCTCAGTTCATTAACGCTCGCAGCGCCTGCTCTGCCACCTGCCTTCTCCATCACAGGGTAACATGCCCTTAAAACCCTCCCGTCCCCCCACTGCAATCTCAGAGCTGGGGCTTCCCTGCCCTCCCAGCCCCACATCACCTTTAAGCGCAGAATGGCCTCGACCCCCGTGCAAATCCTTCCTTCCCCTGCCCTCTGACAGCCCAAGCAGTTCTCAGCTGAACCTTTTCCTGCTGCGCCGGGAGGGCAGCCGCAGAGGAAGATACGCGTGGGCAGGGAGCAGGGACGTTGCATCTGTTGGCCTTGCGGTCAAATACCAGTGCTAGGCTGGGAACAGCCTCTGGGCTGGCTTGAAAATCCACCAGCGGGGACAAAACCCCCA